CTTGGCTGAAAAAACTATTTAAATAATCCGCTCCACAGCACACAGTAACCTCCAAAATCAATATCCTCCAGTGAATTATGACTGGTTTGTCCCGTGTCTGTCCTCTGTATGACTGCAAGGGCAGGTGCTGAGGGCTTAAGCCCATCCTTACTTGGTGATGGTTATCTGTAGGCAATCTGAAGTCTGTTCACACACTTTAATGTTTCTATTTGGTCCCCAAATATCTAGGAAACTCTGTGTTACATGCTTCCAGCACACAAGGTTGCTGAACCGCTCTGAGTTTAGAGAAGCAGAACAGCAGCGTAGGTTTTACACACTTTCAAAAGGAAAGCAGCCAGACAAAGCTTAGGACAAAGTAGAAGCCATCACTGATGCCTACTCACTTCCATCACATACCAGCCTTGGGGACTCCTAGATCAGCAGGCAAAGAAGGGAAGTACGTTTCCTGCAAGTCACAAATAGCTCTGCACACTAGTTTCCAGGCTGGGATATGCAGGGCTTTTTGCACCTTGCCATACATGCTCATTCTTAACCATCCATCCCCAAATACAAATGGAAACCAACAGCAAAAGGCAACAGCTGAATGAAGATATTTCCCAATAAATCAACAATAGAAGTATAACTCTATATTCTCCCAGAATCAGGTACCTCATCAGTCTTTACCCACCTGATGCGCAGGTGCCAGGCAGGAAGAGGTCCAAGCAAAGCCAGCCAAAAAAAAACAAAAACAAAGAAACAGACCTCGACATCCACCCAAGTTGGATGGTTCCCTCAGACTCTAACCTTGTCAGAATCCTCTTATACCTTTTACCAAAAAAAAAAAAAAAAAAAAGCCTTTGCTGCCTTGAATAAAATCTAAAGCTGTCAGAAACTGATGGGCTGGAATGGGAAAGCAAGGAAGAAAGCAGATTTATTATAGTACCATAATGACTCCAGGAGACCAGTGATGAGCTAAGAAATTCTAAACCCATCTGGTGACATACTACAGCAAAGCAAATTATGATCCTCTTCCCAAATGTTCTAAGCTGAATTGCTTTAAATTAAGAAACGTGAGCTCTCACACACCACAGAAGTCAGGCCCCATGCAGCAGGCTCCAGACTAAGCAAACCATGGCACACAACCTGTTGGAAAGGAAAGAGACCAACTATCCCAGCCTTGCAGGGGAATGGTGTGATCTAATTAGCTTCCTCCATCTCAAACATGCACATATCTAGACATAGGCCCCTCAGCCTAAATTGAACAAGCCAAAGAAATTGTGAGTCACGTCAACAGGAGCCAAGCTGGGTCCTGCCCAAGAAGCAGCACACATAAGAACTGCCAGCACTTCAGACAAAGAGGAAGAAAACATTCCTGACTTGGAAGGCTGGACTGTCCCTACATCCCTACAAAGTGAAGTCCCTAAGCCTGGGGCCTAGCTGGTTAGTGATGGTGACCAAGAAATCTCAGTGTTCTACCTGGTTTTCAGGCACTGCTACTCGAAAAAAAGGGGTCTTATATTGAAAGTAAGAAGTTCTAGGAGCAATAAGGCTTCAGAAAGAGGCAGAGTGATAAAGCTGCTATTCCACCAGACATCCCAGCATTCCAGAGCCCAGCTTACTCCAGGATCTACTTGTCTATAGCATTGGCCTTTTCTTCCCTGTGTAAATGTTTTCTTACGACCAAGCTTCTCTGCTGCTTTCCCAGCTGGGCTGCTTGTATGCATACTACAGGTCAACAACAGCAGGAGAAAAAAAAAGTCAGTTGGGCTTGATATTCTTCACTGACAGTTGCAAATGCAGTTATGGTTAAACATGGAGCACCAGTGCACCTGGCTGGAAAAGCAGAAGGCTGGTGTGGCTACTGCAAGAGACTCTGCCTGCTGTTAGAGAAAGGCCAAGTCAACTGAGCAGCTAAATGTGATTTTGCTGAAGGCAACCAGAAGGACTCAAGGAGGAGCAGATGCAGGGAGGGATTCCTCAGTCCAGCTGCACAAGATAAAAACAGATGAGCTCCTTGGCAAAGGTAACACATAGAGCAGGAACACTGTTAGAATGGAAGCTGACCAGGCTGGTACACAAAGACTTCAAGCATCACAGAACACCCAATCCTGAGTACCTCAGGTGCTGAGCCCCTCATGCCAGGCAAGGTTTATTCATAACTCCCTGGAAGCTTCAAATGCTCAGCACTCAGAGGATCAGCTGCTGAGGAACCAGTCCTTTCAGATCAGGAAGAGATCAGCTTGAACACAGAGGGACTATTGTTTGGACACTGTTCAGCTCAGCTTCAGGTTTCTGGAAGTACTGCTCTCCTCATCACACCAGGCACACAACCAAAGCCAGACAGCAACATGACACATGGAACACACTCCCTTCACATGGGAGCAGTCATCTTGCTAAGACACTGCTGGTGGAAAGCAAACGACGTGGTTCAAACTCATCCCCAGGTAACTGAAGAGGCTGGTTGGGTTGGTCTAGAGGACTTCCCTTCCATTTCAAACTCTTCACAACCATTAGATATGGTCACTTTATGGGCTAGAGTTTTGGCATGTGCCAGGACCTCTTGCACAGGCAAGTCCTGAGATACCAAACCCTACACAGAGTAGCTGATGGGACACACTGACTGTTCCCAATCTCACTGCTCTGGACTGGACTGGTCAAAGCAGCTGGGATTAGGGAGCAGCTTGGAAGTACTTGAAGTGGTGCTTTCCTGTCTTACAGATACTAGACCAACAGTCAGAGCAGGGAGGCACAAGCACTGGAGACTCAGTGGAGATGCTAAGAACCTCCAATTTTTTGAACACCTGGTCCCTAGCAGCTCTCAAGCAGACACCATGCATTAAAGAGAGGAAGGGATGAGACTGGAAATGGAACCACAGAAGAGAAAAAGAACATTAAAAAAAGAAATAAAACCACAACTTGTATCGAAAAAAAAAATGCATCTGGGTCAGAGACACTAACAAAAAGCTGACCTACTGCAGGGCATGGCAGAACCTCTCAGCAACAGCCCCAAACTTCCAATCATCACAAGAGAAAAGTCTCTCCCATCCGATGCAGCAAGTCAGGCCAAATAATTCCATCTGCTTCTGATGCAATTCGCACCCTGAAGGTAGAACATTTCCCAGGAGACCAAGCAATGAGGCGGAGCCTTAGCAGGTGTAGCGCAAGGAAGTACCATACATTTAGTTACACACTTTCAGGCAGATATCGAAGAGGAAGTCTCTCTCCTCCATAGTTGTTAAAGTGTCACCCAATCACACCATAAAGTCTGTGCATCTTTTTGGTGAAGACACACATCTAAGCCTGGTTTCAAAAGCTGCCTCCTTACTTAGGTTCTCGTGCGGATGATATTCCACCCTGACAAGGGTAAAAAGCTTGGGTCACGCTACTTCCTCTCCTTGTGGGATATGGACTGAAGTACACCAGCTTCCACTTCCTACAGCCCAATGTACAGACAGCAAGGATCCAGTTTAGTCTCAGATGCCCCAGGGAGGAAAGGAGGCTGCTTCCGGTGAGAGTGGGAAAGCAGAGGCCTCCCTGATCGCTGGCTGGAGGGAGGTAAGCTCCGCTGTCCCTGTACCTGCCGTTCACTTCAAATGAACTTTTTTCCTTAAATTATGAACAATTTGGAGGACATGGAAAGCAACCACATTCGGTCCAACTCCCTCCCTCTTGTCCCCACTGCTGCCTCTGTATGGGGCTCTCTCTCACAACCGGCACAGGCAGAAGAGGGTAGGGATGAAGACACCAAAGGCCACCAATATAGGGAACATGAGGCTGCTGTTGTCTGAGGCATAAGGGTTTGGTGTGCGGGGACCCGACTGAACCCGGTTCTTATTGGCCTGTTTTTTAACATTGGGGCCTTCTTCATACTCCTCTTCATCATCCTCATCCTCTTTTTTCTCCAGGCCTGGGTGAGGCTGCAGCTTTGGAACATCTATTGGAGCAGAAGAGAGAAATCCACAAAGGTGAAGGAGCTGTCAGGATTCTAGCAGGCAAGACCCTCCCCCAGCCAAATAGAACAGGGCACCAGCAATACCCCGTAGACCTACAGACAGCCTTACACTGCCAGTACCCCCAATCCAGCATAAACTCCCCATGCAGAGACACTCAGACAGCCCTCCTCTCAGCTGGTTGGTCAAGGAAATCTAGACATCCTTGCACTCCTCATGCAGGAAGAACTACATCATGCAGGCAGGTTTACAACAAAAAGGCAGTCAGACCCTTCTCCTACTCTTCCTGGATGCCCAGTAAGATCCCAGTGAACAATGACAGATTTGATGCTTAGAGAACTAAGTGCTTCCACTCCTACAAAGGACCCTCCCACACAGCAGCCCTCTCTAAACCTGCCAGAGGTTCTCTACTCATTCACCAAAACAAGGCAAAAGACAATACCATCCAAGTCCAGCCCATACTGATATGGAGCCAGATTTCAAATTCACTACACAGAAAGATGCTGGGATATCACTGGACTCCCAGAGATGCCCTGGCTTAAAAAACAGGGCGACAGTACCAGGGACCCCACTTACCCTCCCCACAAAGTGCACACATTGCGCAGATATTCTGAACAGAAGGTTGGGAAAACCAGTGGCATCCTCGGAGCCACGAAGCCAGAAGCCCAGCATGGAGAGGAAGTGACAGATCAGAAACTGAGCCATTATTAGCCACAGGGGTCCCCAAAGGCAGACAGTCTGCAGTTGCTTGTGACATCATTCAGCCAGAGAGTTTGCCTCTAGCTATGGCTCTGTAAGAGGCAAGATTGATGAGGGTGGGTGGGAAGGCAACTAGGATCAGTCTTGAACTATACATGCACCAGTCTTTGTACATGAGGAGGCAGGCCCACACCTGAAGGAAGCATGCACTATGGCACACCCTCACAGGGAAAGCAGAGGGAGATGGGTGTGGCCCAGACAACTCAGCAAAGCCTGCCACTACAGATGGAGTGCTGCATGCAGGGGCTAGGTAATAATGGGCTGATTTCCACATGAACAGTGCTGGAGCATTGAAAAGGCTCAGTAGCTTACCATCCACTGTTCCTTGCAGGAGGTATAATGCACAGATTTTTGGATTGTCGTAGTATCCCTAGAGAAAAAAAAACCCAGAAGAAGTCAGTGACCTCAACCACCACCCACACAGCTGCACCACACAGCAAAGAGAAGAGGAAAAAAAGAAAGCAAGGAAAAGCCCAGTGCCCTGCAGGAGTTGTTACCTTGACAAATTCAATTTGGAGCTTCCCTGTGAATGTGGAAACCTCTCCCTGAACACTCAGCTTCCCCTTCTTGATGCTCATTGGAATGATCTCATCGTGAGCCGTGCTGTGCCCAACTCGGTCAAAGATATCCAAATCCTTCACCACCACATGGCCGTTCAAACGCACATCAAATACCTTTGGTGGGGAGACAGATTGCAGAGAGCATCATAAAGGAACCA